AATATTTTTTTTAAATAAATAATAAATCCGTCGGAAATCCGTCAGTTACCAGGATCGTCGAAAATCCGTCGGAAGTTTTGTCCGTCGGAAATCCGTCGGTAAATCTTTCCGACATAATTCCGACGGATTCTTTTTTTGTCGGAAATCCGTCAGTATTTCCGACGGATTTCCGACGGATTTTTTATTTCCGACGAGATAGAAACGACGGACCAAAACCGTCGGAAAGCCATCGGAATAGGGCTTATTCCGACGGATTTCCGACGGTTTTGGCCGTCGGAAAAGGCCCTGTTTTCTTGTAGTGTATGTCCCTTCCAGATCTTGGTTCTATCCCCGGTCTAGATAGGCAAATCGGTACCGGAATCTGAAGGGGTGTATAAGTCGAGAAAGAAAGAAGTTGTTTTTTTTTTTGATAAGAGAAAGAAGTTGTTTGTGACAAAAGCTACGATATAATCGATTTTTTTTCAATGAATTGGCTCGAAACGCTAATCTCGATCTCTCGCAGCCGGATTTGAAAGGAAAGATTGAAGATTCGAATCAGATTGTGTATCCCAAAGTTAACAGTGGTGTTTAGAGGTAACGAGAGCATCACAAACTATAGAAATCGATCACATTTCGTATCATTTATGGTTTTCTTGGTACTTAAGCAATGGTGTTTAATATATATGTTTGTTGCTTAAGTTGTTGATGATTTGCTTCTATTGATGTTTTGAAAGGTGCGGATTTGCGCAGGGCCAAGAAGCGTATGATCTGTATGTGAAATCTTTAGTACCTTAGACGAAATTGAAGATCACTTAGGTAGGAATAGAGATACTTGTGTGGAGAAAGGTTAACGTTGGCGGATGTATGTCTGTTCAAACCTTTGATTCGTTTTGATCCTATTCAAATGCACTAAGATGAAGCTCGTCGAGTACCTATGGCTATTTATGCGATATTTATCAGGTATTGTTCCCAAAACGGCTTAACTGCTTTCCTTAATGGCTTTTCTCCAACACTCCTGAAAACGTGTTTCATGTTCTGCATTTGTTGTTGTTGAATCAGATTCCTAGTACCCATCCATTATACCGGCTACTTGGGATCTTCCGGCTACTACAAAACGCTGTTTCAACCTGCAGTTTCTTCACTGCCGATCAAGATTCTCTCTTGGGACCTCATTACAGAGACTTAGTGGGTGAAGCAGTTGTAGCAAATCTCGTGGCGTAAGTGGAGAAAACTGTACATAACTCAAATCATGGGGCGATGCAGCTGAACCCAAAGTATATCACAATAGTATATATTAAGCTCTCTGATTATGTGTTCTGATATTTGGATTAATCATGATGGAAGTGGAGAACTGATTAAAAATTGCTTAAGAGCTGGTTAAAAACC